ATCTGGCCCTTGGTTGATGTTTCTTACACCTAAAAGTGCAGTATCCCCTAAGGGATTAGTTTTATTATAAGTCTTTCTCTTCTAACTGATGGGTTTTTGAATTATTTTTTTGCGATTTATTTGTTTACTTAGTGTTTTGGGATCTATGGGAAAGAGTTTCTCCAGAGATAATTATTAACGAGATTGATAGTAAAATAATAAAAGAATATTATACGTGCGAAGAAAAAGATTAAAACGATTATAACAAGCAATGACGTCAAGATAACAATTTCAAAAGTACAATTTAATTTCAAATACAATTTAATTTAGCATGAAATAATAATTTAATTTAATCTGCCGGCTACTTGCAAGAGGTAAAGCATAAACTCTCAAGTTTTACAATAAAGTTAGTAGTTTTATACCTTTAATAATTTAATTTCAATGTTGCTTTTTCAGTGGCCAATCCTGTAATAATTTCAAAGAAGAGTTGAAATTCAAGAGAGACAATTCAAGAGAGATAATTCCTAGTGAAGACCTGATAAAATCTGCTATGATTTTATGCTTGTCGGCTAGAAACTCAATCAAAAAGAGGTGGTATATATTTAAGAAGGAGTTGGCTTTTCTCCAGGAAGCACCAAAATGTTACAATGCTATAGCCTTCTTGGTATTGTTATAGCAAAGTAACAATGTCACCCGGTGCAGTAATATGCTTTATGAATATACACGGGGTGGACGTGAAGTGTATACTTTTACTTCACAGCAGAAGGCAAACGGTTCAAAGTAATAACAGTTTATAGAGACAATAATATTTTATTAATAACAAATTCACAGTAATATTCTTTACAATAGGAATAACCTAAAGAGAGAATATTACACTATACAAATGTAAGAAAGTAATAAGGGTAGTTAGGTAGAGCTAGATTCTATAAGAGAGTAGGGAACTCTAACTTGAGCAGAAGGGACAAAAGGCTCCCTTTTTATAACTTTTCTATACATAAGAGGTGTAACGGTATAACTGCCAAATTGTGTAGAGGTACTAAGAGATACTTGTGTAAAGGTACTGAGAGGTACCTGTATTGGAGGTACTGAGAGGTACTTGTGTGAAGGTACTAACAAGTACTCGTGCGAAGGTACTGACAAGTACTTGTGTGCAGGTACTGAGAGGTACTCGTATGCAGGTACTGAGAGGTACTCGTGTGTAGATACTGAGAGGTACTCATGCACAGGTACTGAAAGGTACTTGCATGCAGGTACTGAGAGGTACTTGTGTAGCATTACTGTGTCTCAATTCTCTAGCCAATATTATCTCTAAAATTACTATAATAAATATTGATATAAAATATAATAATAACTAATACTAATAAATACTAAATAAATATAACTAATATATAATAATACAATTTATAAAATATAATCTATTCTACACTATGCTAATATTATATTGTGTTACAACCTACTTTGTAACAATATAAAGCCTAAGGAAATGTAGTAACTAGCTGGCCCCTAAAGTTTTCAGTATAACAACATTTCCAAACTAAAAAAAAAAAAAAAATGTAGTTAACCAGAAGTACAGGAGGCACCTCCAAAAAATGCAACCCAGAATCTTTAGGATTTTGGTCTGGTAGGTAACCAAGAGACACTCTAACATTAACAAGAGTGTCAGCTGCCAATTTTTTTTTAAATAAAAGTAGGCTGGCTTAACTAATAAGTTCATGTCTATTTAAGCCAGTTTAGCTATAAAAAAGCTGTGTAGGAGTGGCACCAAGGCTTGTTAAAGGGTACGTTTGAAGACTTATTAAATGTGTGAAAAAAAAATCAATACTAGATTGTCTTTGCTAATACATTGATTTTTTAATTGTTTAATTATTTAGAAATACTAAATAGCATTGGTATTAAAGCGAAATGGTTGGTATGATAGATTATAAAAGAAAACATAAATTTTACCTAAATGGGTATTTATTAGAAGTTTAATTATTTCTTTTTTCTTCTTAAAGATATTAACTAACCTATTTGTACTTGAAATTTCTAATATGATGGCAATTTCAAGCACATGAGCCATGTAAATAAAGCGTTCACCAAAAAAAATGCCCTAAGTAATCATTAATAACTCTAATCAAAAAATCTTCAAAAAAATATAGAATTCTACTAAAGGGAATGTTAAAAAATTGCAGCAAAAAAATTTAATAATTTAGATAAATCTTTGATTTTTTAGAAATTTTTTCACAAAAAATGTATTTTAGCAGATTTGTGGGTCTATTAATAATATCTGTAGGTTCAAATATAACAAACAGGGGGTAGTATCCCTGTATTAAAATTTTTTTTAATAAATCTATAATTTTTTGGCTCTTTAACGGGCCATTAATCACGTGATTCAGCGCAGTCGTTATTGCCACGTGAAGTTGTCCAAAGACTTTTTTAACACACTGTATACATGTGTTTATGTTATGTATTAAACTGTTTTAACAGTTAATACAGATTTGTTTTACAAAGTGGAATACTAATGCCTGCGGTCCACACTAGCGTTGCAAACATAATTATATTAAATACAAAAATAATTTTAATTACGAAAAACCTATTATTGATACAAAAATTACAATATTTACAAAAATTACAGTATTTACAAAATTGCAGTAATTCAATAATAGTTTTTGTTACGTATCATGATCAATTTAAGCTATCACTATTTATGAAAAAAATAGTAAGACTAATTTAAAGCTACATATCACTATTTACATACGTATAATAAAAATCAAAATATTTTTGTTATTAAAATCTCTTCAAACTTTTTTCTATTAATATAATCAACGATAGCTTCTACAAAGTTATCTTTAAACATGTCAAACCAAAGTGATACGTATAACAGGGGGAACCGTTGATACGTCACAAAATCGTTACACAATTGATGAAAATTTTTTTTATATTATTTTACAATACTTTTTTGGAAGGCTCGCTTGACTTATCTTTTCTATGAATATTGAAAATGGTTAAACAAACATGAAGCTTTATAACATATATTTTGAATCCCCTTGAATCCCATGGTTTCGTCTTTTTGTAAATTTCGCAATTTGATTGGTTGACTAATCCCGTAGTGAGTGATCTGTGTAACGGAGAATGAAAATCATATCTATATTTGGACGGTTTCTCCTGTTGATACGTATTCAGAAAAACAAAATAAACACAAATGAAAAAGAAAAAATGTGATTATTATATAACAAGTAATGATACGTATTAACGATCGTAGTGCGACTTGCTATTATTGTACAAAGTATTGGACCTACGGACGTCCTGCAGAAATAGAAGCACATCTTGCAAACATTTGTCCTAATGTTCTTAAAGAATATTTGCAAGAGTCACTTTAAATAAGTTATTAATTACAAACGAACAAAAGGTTCAAATCAAAAACAATTAAATCAACATGATCTAATATAATGCTTTATATTGTACGTACATACGTAACAGGAGGAAACGTTGATATTACACAACTGATTTTACACACGGTGTGAAACACATAAAAAAATTATTTGATCGGACTTGATAGTACATGTTACGATTATAATCCAACATCATTTTTTTATAATAAAAAATGGTGTTGGATTATAATCATAATATGAACTATCAAGTCCAATCAAATAATTTTTTTGTGTTTCACACCGTGTGTAAAATCAGTTGTGTAATATCAACATAGTTTAAATAAACTTGTACATACATTATCGGACTTTGAAAACCACAATAATTATTAAAAATGCAAAAATATAATTAATTTTAGTATTTTTGATTTTGTAATGTAAAATTAATTTAATTATGTTTGCAACGCTAATCCACACCTGTTTTTCATTTACCTACACTAATACACTTCATCCAGTTGTCCTAATAATCGATATTCTGGTTAAAATAAAACGGTCAGTTACACTTATGTCCGGAATGCACGTCTCCAATATTTGCCATTAGTATTTCTTCATGTGAGTACACTGTTTTATTTACATATTTGTGTAAAACTTTGGAAGTTTGAATTTTTTGTTACGAATCTATGCCGTACAGCCATATATGAATAATGTAAAGCGATCACGTGACATAATGAAGTACATATTTATTGATATACGGTATAAAGAAACAAATTATAAAATTATCTTTGCTTTATTTGCTTCAAGACCCTCAAAGATAGCTATATTGCTTTCAGTTTTTATCTTGATTTTTCTTTCTCTTGATGTTACTAGTAGAGCGAGTAGAGCGACTAAGGTTGCTACTAACTCTTTTTGGCGATGCTCTTTTCGGCGATGCTATTGTAGGAAGCTCATCAACTTTAACATGTGTATGTGTGAAGTTTGGCGTAAGCCTACTAATCTTAAGATAGTAATCCATAACACGGCTCTATTATCAACCAAGAAAGCAACAAGCTTATAAACATACAATAGGTTCATAAAATGAAAGACTCCTTGTTTCGAGTTTATACCCATACCTTAAACATATATACCTTTTCGATCACTTCTTTGAGCACGTGCAATTGGTCCTTAGAGTTTGGGATAGAGAACTCAGTAATCTTATCCGCTATATATAAACCACTTGCACAATGCATCGTGTATATTGTGACCGTCCGTTCTAAAATCAAAAAGTTCAAAGAATAATTTGAAATCTAGTTAATCCTTCAAAAAAATCATTGTTATACTCACTATAAACAACAATGCCATAAGACTCCAAGATTTGTAATTGGTTTTCTGATGCTCCTCGTTGAAGGTGGTGCTGTCTTTGGTAGAATAGAGAAATTTGCATACCTGAAAGACATTGGGGAAAAGTATATTAGTTGGCTGTAAATAAGACGTACTAAACAATAAGCATACTTACATTTTAGCACTTTTTCTAGATCCTCGGATAGTTTGGTGAGATCATCGTAGATAGCACTTTCAACCACCTCCATGAATCCAACTTCTACTGTAGTCCCATTTACATTAATGATAATAACCCCATCCTGGCGACAACCAAGACTAAGCCGTTGTGTGCATTCTCGTGTCTCGATACGTTGAGTTTTTATCAACATATTTTCAATTTCGCCACTGGTTTAACAAAACAGGAGAATATCACGTTATCACTATAAAACATGCAACAATAAAAAAAATATTGAATTAAAACCTACGTCCTCATATGAATGAGTTCCATTAAGTCATCGAATACTTTCGCGAATATAGGATTTATGAAATTTTCTCTATAAGATAATTCTGTCTGGTCTGGGTCCAATAGCTGATTGATAGGTGCCATAAAAAGCATTAAGCTAAAAAAGATAAAGCAATCAATCCAATGACAGGATAAGACTTCGATTTATTTAAATTAATAAATCATAAAAATCCTGGTACTCACAAACGTTCATATACATTTTGTATCCATTTTAATTCATAATGTTTTTTATAAATGAAAACTCCAGAATATGGCTTCATAGCGACAGCCTCAATCGCATTATCCAAGCTAATGTCATCAAAAACTGATCTGACTTCTATATGTTTATTATACATGTTTAATAGAGGTTTTATCTCCAACTCCCATTTTTTATGACGAGCAGTGCTAGTTTTTTCGGTTTCTGGTGGTTCAAGCTTAAAAAAAGTATATTGTTGTTACCGTTATCCATTGGAAAAATAGCTGAGCATACTTCCTAGTTCTATAAAAAACGTATTAATTACCGATATCCAAATATCTTCTTTCATTTTCTGTCAATACTCTATGAAGAGGGTTCGTAGCACTTCTTATTGATAAATTGATGACTCGATATTGTAAAATGCGATCTTCTAATGATTCTATTTTTTTTAAAAATATCCCTAATCTCTGAAGTTGTTTCCTATATATAATATGAACATCAAGGTTAGAAGAACCGAAAAGACTAAGTTATGCATGAATGAAGGGAAGTACCTCGTGAGCCAGATGAACAGCTTTAATATAGACGTCTTCATGCTTCTCACCGACATCATAGTTTTTTGATCTCACCGTTTTCGTAAATAACGGAACTGAAACTCCTTCATTGTTAAGTTCCTTAACATTTCCCTTTTCCAATTGATGTTTTCTTACACAGTTACTTTGTTCTTCAATATCAAATTCATTCTCCTTATTATCGTCACTTTTTTTTGCATCGACAATCTATAGTAAAAGTCTCTTTAAGTAATATTGTAAGAACTCCAAGATTATACTGTTGATAAGTAACTTACATTCGTCATAGTTGATGTAAAATCTTGTTGAATGCTCAGATATGTATCGTGGTTTGCCCGACAAGCTAGAATCTAAAGCATATTTGAATTTAGAAACTACGAACCTATAACTCAAAAATATGTGAAATAGACATACAGCTTTTTTTTCTTTTAGCCAAATCTCCCAATCTCTTTGTAAAATTTCCTCCTATTTAAGAGAGAACAAATATTAAAAATACTTTGTTTTATGTCAAAATTGTCAACATACTTAAATACATACATCATTATTCACGGCTCTAAGCTTATCGAGCTTATCACCCTCACTACGACTTAAAGCAAAATTAAAACATTTCCTATATTTTTCAATAGCTCGTGCACGTATTGTCGGATGGGTTAAACGAAAAAAAGCAATTGGAGTTGGCTCCTGAGAATTTAATATCCAGTTTATATTCACTTCTTGCCGATTCTTCTTAGAAAATTTTCTTTTTTCTATTTTCATTATTACCTCGTCAAAAAAGAGAATTGTGAGTATATTATTATAAACGAAAACATTAAGCACTAATAAAAGTGGGCAGTCCCTCATTTAAGACCGGCCACCGCTTGATAGCGACTCGCTATAATTAGCTTCTGATAGACCTCAACTCTATCACAGACATCTTTCATGATAACAAACCCCATAATAGTTCTGATGCAACGAAGTTAGCCGGCCACCACTTGATAGCGACTCGCCATAACTGGCTTCCGATAGGCCTCATCCCTACCGCAGACACTTTCTTCGTGCTTAACAAAACTATCGATATAACCTATGACAAGAATTTTTATTAAACTTACTTGGTGATGAGTGAAAAAGAAACGCTAATAGTGAATAATTGTCTAAACTCGCAAGGAAAAATCGACGTGATCGTAATACGCGTTTAAAATAATATGTCAAAATACAGAAATATATATTATCAAAATTTTTTCTCACGTGATGATCGATGAAAAATTGCCTGACTGTACCTAGATGCAGATACAGATAAATTGAGCATAGCAGAAGTTAGTAATTTTGATTGGCGATGATCTTTTTTTTTATACAGGCAATTGTAATTTTTAAAGTATTTTTATAAGTCATGCCATATGAAAAGATTTTTTTTGTAATACGAGTTGTTGATATTTTACCTTTGGCTTTATTGTTTTTTAACTTGGGATGCAGTAGGATGCAGTAATTTCAAAAACTAGATAAGAAGTGAAGGTTTTGAAGAGTCAGAAGGTATTTCAACGACCTAAGCAATTAGTAAGTGAAAGTTGCAAGATTTTGTTTTAACTTGTTCTTCTTGCTTTTTACAAGTAAAAAAATACTATATATTTTTGGAACTAATATTCCAAACTCTTTTTTATTATATTTAGGCTATAAAAGTTCATAAATGCAAACTTTTATATAGCAGTGTTTAGAAATCTTTGTGTAAGTTAAATTGTATTGCAAAACTTAAAGTATTTGTTGTTAAATAAATAGTGTATTTATTGCAAATAAATATATTTTAAACATTGTGAAATATGAATCAGTTATTATAAATTAAAAATTAATGATTATAAGACTACAATACACGCCTTTAAAAAGTATTTGACCAGTCTTTTGAAAGTTTTGTAAGTAATAAAATTTTATCTGAGGTATAGCTGATACTTTATCTAGGAATGATCTACATTTTTTCTGGAATATTTTAACAACCAATCAAAATGAATTTCCACTATGCTTAGCTATTTAATTAGAGTTTTACTATTACCAAGTTGGTAACTTCACTAGTATAATCACTAAAAATTTTGGCTTTTAACTTTTTAGTTATTGCTTGCAGAGTCTTAAGGCTTTCATTGTTAAAAATTTTAAGTTTAGTTATTGTATTAGAATCTTCGCTGTTTTAATTAGAGCTATAAATATAGCACAGTAGTTAAAACTGGACATAACATGGTATAAACTAGTATAGTATTTAGATTCAGATATTAGACACAGCATATTAGTTAGAACTAAATATAGTACAGTAGTTAGATTTAGGCATTAGAACTAGATATAGTTAGATTTAGGATATTAGAACTAATATAGTATGGTATATAGTTTTTTTTTTTTTTTTAATATTAAGGTGAGCACTTAGGCCCCTGGCACTTTATTAGTTCAAACGGGTGGGCCGTCCGAAGACTGACATCAGTATAACGAGAGTACAACTAGTCACACGTACAACTTTTGGTTGCCTATTTAAGTAGTCCGCCCGAAGCGTT